CAATAAATCTCAACTTGAGAAAGATGCTACAGACAGCTTAGGTCTACTTGGGAAAACAAGAGTTCAATTATCTTACATTGCTGCTCTTTCTCCCTGCTCCTTGACACCCCCCCGCCCCGCTAAATACCACTTTCTGTAGCCTAACAGGTAATCCTACTTATAAAACTATGAAAACTTTTTTTCTCCAAATTTTATTCCAAATTTCTCAAAAATATGATTCCACATTTTTAGATTAAGGTCCAAAAACTGCATTAGTTAAATTAGAGAGGAGTTCAGAATACATTTTATAGTATAGAAATAATTTAACGTAAATAATTGACCTCTCTTTAATTCAGCTTTATGCCTGTGTTTTGTGTTTCATGTTTTGTTCTAGTGAACTGTTTATAATATCAGTTGAATGTTTGTGTTTCATGGAGGTAAATGTGCACCCATAACAATGGAAATTTCATTATACAGGAATAGGAAGAAAATGCAAAAAAAAAAAAATCAGCAAGAATTTCAGTGAAGCTATTATACTGTCATGGGAAATATGAGCATATCTCCTTCACTGTCAGTTCCCATTTCTTATTTTGGAGAGTCACTCTGCATTTGTAAAGTTTGAGTACACGGTATAAATTGTTATGGGTTCTGACAGATGAGCTTGGTTTCTGCCACCCAGTATTACCAATGTACTAGCTCTTGCAAAAGCCCATTAAGCTTAGCAGCACGTGTAATTCTGCAACAAGGTCAAGTGAAATCTGTCTTGTAACATAGCAGAATGCTGGCAACACTGGAAATAGGCTACCACTGGTTGTCTCTTCTACCATCAGTGCATCAAGAAAGTCTTTATGTCCAAACCCAGACTCCAGTCTTCCACTTCCTGTTGAGTATTACAAACTCAAACTATATCAGGTTCATGAGGCTAAAGAATACGAGGAAAAAAGGAGCTGAACTCTCTGTCCCTGTAGAGAAAGATGTGAGGGTAGCCCCTTGATTTTTTACTGTTTCTACCAGATGACTCAATCCAATATGTATAAACCAGAATCTAGCACTCCTTTTCACATGAGAGTGCATTCCTCCCTCGGCCATAGAGGTAAAACTCCTCTCGTTTTTTTATGTGCTCTCTCACCCTCTGACCTCATGACTCTTGCATTTCTGTCTGTGCAGTGGCCTGACTTCAGTGGGGAAGGTGAGAAGCAACTCCATTCTGGTTTTGTCCATCCTTGATGGGAACTGGGGGAAGTGGGCTTACGTCCCTCAGGTGGGGATAGACGTGAATGCAGCTTTCCCTGGACATGTGCTCTAACATTAAGCTATGTAGTAGAGGCAGCAATCATCATAACCAACTGTTTTTCAAAAGGACTCTGACTCAGTACTATATATAGGTTTTAGGAGAGCTTTAAGCGTATCTATTGGATTAGACCTGTTAGAGGATTTAAATATGTGAATATTTAATTTGTGAATCTCTTAATGACCTTAGGTAAGGAGATGTCCTAACTAGGTTGCTTAGTTAAAATGAGGCATAAGCTTCTATAGGGAAGGTAAAATTTGGGTACTCAGAAAACTTTTTCTGGACAAAAATGTAGTTGTTATGGGTATGGATGTATTTAATGAGGTAAATAAAGTTTTCATTAATTGCTTTGTTAACAAAGTATCTAAGTTCTGCCTAAACTGAAATTTAAGTCCGTTCCTGAATCTGGATCTCACTGTGTTCTTTGTCTTCTGTACTTGTCTAAAAATATTGTTGTGTACTTGTTAAAGATTTTACATTTATATACAACTTTAATCTAAGAGTATTCAAACTAACGTAAAATAAATAAGAAGCCTACTTGTTAGGCTGGATCTCATTTCCAGGAAGCTTACTTTGTAGCTGCAACATTTTCCACTGAGGTTATGTTTGTTTTTACCTGTTACACATTTCTGTCTTAGGATGATAGAGTATTTTTTTTTTTCTAATTATCTGGATGTACATTATGAAGTTAGGTATTATTTGAACATTGTGATTCATAGGAATCATTATATAATGTATCTTGAAGACATGGAATCAAAAATGCTGTTTAAAGAATGTTATCATTTCTGAGTTTCTCACTTTTCCCTTCTATAATTTTCCAATGCAGATAACAATACCCAGACCTTCAGTGGCATCCACACAGTCTGCTTCAGAGAGCTTTCATTACGGCCACCAGCTAGAGAAAAAAGAGCAGGATGCTCAGTCTGTGGAACACACTGTGGAACTTTCCTCTCCAAAGGAAAGTTTGCCAGGTTTGGTTGTGGCAGAAGACGCGCTTCCAGCTAGTGCCAGCAGACCAGATTTGGTACTTAATATTAGCCAAGAGGTGCTTGACAGGGAAGGACTTGTCAAAGAATGTGTCAGCGTCCTGGACTGTGGCCAAAAGGATCTACCTGAACAACATAGTGCGATACAGGAAGAGAAAGAACTTGAAAATATACCTGTAGAGGAGACCGAGGAAGAAAGGCTTCCAGTGGTTTCTGAGGACGCCATTGAAATGCTAAGCAAAGAACAGAATTCTTCTTTGCCAGGAAACTCAAGATCTGCAGAGGAAGAACCTCTAACAAATACTGAAGCTGCTGAAGAATCAAAGCCAAGGCCTGTCTGTTTGGTACCAAATCAAGATGAGGTTCTGAAGCCGATAGCACCTAAAACATCAGAATTTTCTCCCTCGAGACTTACCAACCCACATGTTAATAGACAGGCAGGCAAAACAGCACCAGTTCAGGAAAATGGTTTTCATTCTAATAAGGAAGACGTCCGTATCCAAGACTTGAAATGCCACCAAGTGGCCCTTACTACTTTTTTGCGCCAGGAGGACAAAAAAGAGAAAAATTCTCCCAGAAATGGAGAGTTATTCCACTGCATTTCAGAAAATGAGAATTCTCATCGATCTAAGAAGGACTTAGTTAAATCTCCTTTTGTATTCAGGCAAAGCCGAATCCCAGTTTTAGCACAAGAGATAGACTCAACATCAGAGTCCTCTTCTCCTGTTTCAGCAAAGGAAAAGCTTCTTCTAAAAAAGGCACATCAGACAGACTTGGTCAGACTACTTATGGAAAAGAGACAACTCAAATCTTTCCTTGGTGACCTCTCAAGTGCCTCTGATAAGTCACTGGAGGAAAAAATGGCTGCTGCTTCAGTACCATTTTCTGAGGATGATGTCTTATCCTCATTTTCTAGATTGACACTGGACTCTCATTTCAGCAAGCAGACAGAAGATAGCTCTCTATCTCCAAGCAGCCCTCAGTCCAGAAAAAGCAAGATTCCAAGGCCTGTGTCCTGGGCAACCACTGATCAAGTCACCAGTTCAAGTTCAGCTCAGTTCTTTCCTCGGCCACCACCAGGAAAACCGCCTACTAGACCTGGGGTAGAAGCTAGGTAATCCAGAGAAAATAGAAATAGGTTTTCCGGTCGAAAATGGATTTGAGCTAGACTGCAGTCACTATGCAGTATGTAATCCTGTAGAAGTTCTATCCTTTAACTATTTTTTTTTAAATGCTGGGCTTCAATTCTCTGAGAAATCTCGCATTGTTGGAGAATGAATGAGGAGAGGCCGTTACACAAGAATGAGCCTGCTTCACCAGTAAACCTTATGCATCATATGTGTTCAATATTTTGAAACCTGTCAATCTATAGCAAAATCTTTACACTTTTTTTAAAGTGGGGTCATTTTTCGGGAACTGTTGATTATTCATGAACCCAGAGAAATCAATAGGATCTGTCATATCTAGCCCCTTTGGAAAATTAAACTGTTCTTATTGTAGACATTTTAAGTATTCAGGTTTGGAGATACCAGCCATCAGTATTGAGTGAGATAGCTGTGCTCAGATCATGGCTAAGTAAAAAAATAATTAAAGGAGGGCAGAGTGAATTGTAGAAGCCCACCGTTGCCAGTTCTATATACAGACAACCACGATCTAGCTTCTTCAATGCCTACCTTACCAGGATAAGGAGAATTTTGATACAGTAGGCGAAATCCTCTGAAGGAAGTTGTGGTGTGCCCTGTCATCCCTTAAAATTGTGTATAGGAGTGTGCTGATGGTGGGCAGGAATGGATGTACCCCTCCAAAACAGAGGCGATAAGCGCTGCTCTTCAGTGCACTTCTTCCAGCACCACCAGGAAATTTCAGCTATCCTGTAAACACTTGGGCTGTTTCTCTGAGTGAGTTTATGCAAATATAAATACTGTGTTGATCTGAACAACACAGAAGCCAAAGCCTAGATCCGAACATCTCTACCTTACAGGAAAGTTCAGCTCCAAATATCTTTTCTGCGATGTAAACTCAACCCTAGTTTCTAGTGATACTGTGTTTCTATATGAACTTCAGTGAATAGATGGGAACAGAAATAATCTTTCTTTGTTTCTTCTTAAGGTTACGCAGATACAGAGTCCTAGGGAGTAGCAGCTCGGACTCAGATCTTATCTCTCGTCTGGCTCAAATCCTACAGAATGGATCTCAAAGACCAAGGAGTTCTACCCAGTGTAAGAGTCCAGGATCTCCACATAGTCCAAAAACACCACCCAAAAGCCCTGTCATCCCCCGACGCAGTCCCAGTGCCTCCCCTAGGAGCTCTTCTTTACCCCGTACTGCCAGTTCTTCTCCGTCACGGGCTGGGAGACCTCATCATGATCAGAGGAGTTCATCCCCACATCTTGGGAGGAGTAAATCACCTCCTAGCCATTCAGGCTCCTCATCTTCTAGGAGATCCTGCCAACAAGAGCACTGCTGCAACAAACCAAGTAAGAATGGTCAGAAAGGGTCTGGCAGTTCTTTCCACCATTCCCCAAGCACTAAGACTCCCACAGGAAAGAGCAAATTGACCACTAAGCTTAGCAGATAGGAACTGGGCCTTGACAGGTGTAAAGCCTCCTCCTAAATCTGATGCATGTTGTGTCTGTGTACTGTGTATTTAAAAAAAAAAAACTGAAAAAGTATATTAAATAAAATGGTGTTGAATCTGTGCTTTTTAAAGAGAGTAAGCATCATAAACTATTCATGAGAAAGCATAGTGTGTAAATAAGTGGCCAGGCATTGCCTAAGAGCAGGCAGCAAGCAGATCCACGAGAGGGGAAGTAGAGGCCAGGATAAGAATGACTAGGTAGTCAAAGAGATGCAATGTATTTAGAGTAAAAAAATATCTCTTAAGGTGTTTTAAAAAGGTATTTATTTCTATGTTTTTAGTTTTCCTAGCTAGAAGATGTGCTGTAATTATTTAAGGCCTTACATACTCAAGGAGTATGTAAGAAAACCTGAAATGGTTATTCCCCAAATGACATCACCGCTTGGGAGATAAGTACTGCTCAAGCGTGTCTTCGCAGTTTTAAAAAAGCACACAGTTTAGAAGATGATGGTATTGCTACCTTGCAAGTCTCTTTCATTTTGAGCTGCAAACATCTCTGAGTCACTCAGTGCTCATCTTGACCCCTGTCTACCATGGAACAGATTTTTTACCTAATGAGGTATCATATACCTTACAGCTTCTTAACACCAATGACATGTTAAAATTTAGTATTAACATTTGCCAAGATGTTTTAATAGCTATATTCTTTAGAAATTTGGTTAGTACTAATTAGGATCAGAGAAGCTAATTCTCAGTTCTGTATCATACACTTCTTTGGGAGTCATAGTAGGGTCCTTCAAACTGTGTTCATTACAATTTGGAAAAGCATTCCTGTCTAGGAAACGGAAGAAAGGCAGAGATATCTGCACTTCACTGAATGTGCAGTTTTACAATAAATTGCAATGTGAGTTAGAAAATAAGTTAGAAAACAGAAGTACCTTTTTTCCCCTTAGCTCGGCTGCAAAAAGAACCCTTGTAATTGCTGGCTTTTGTTTTTTCCATGAGTTATGGACCACTTAAATCACTGATCTTACTGTGCAGAGATGACTGCCAACCAAGATTTGCTTTTTTTGGTCATTTGTTTTATGAAAACACAAAAGATGAAACAGAGAAAAGGAGATTGTCTACTTTGTGAACTTGGTAGGTTACAAGTGACAGAAATATATTTAACACCCTTACAAAATCTGGATAAGAATATTAGTCATCAAAGCAAAATACACAGAAAGCAATCAGAGATGTTTTTTATGTTGGATTCTTGTCATTCTTTTGCCCCAATTTTTTTTTGATAGCCAAGCTTCGTTGTCTGTCAGTAAAGTCCATGGTGTCTAATTCCTCGAACTTTCTTTGGTAGTTACTTAATTATCTCTTGTGCTTTACAGGACCTCTGTAGGGAGCGTAACGGTACAGGACCTTTTGCTGTATTCAGAAGAGAATAGTGGGTCAGAATAGTAACACACAAGAACATAAGCCTGAGAAAGATACAGCCAGCTCTCCCTAATTATTCCTGTTGTGGGGATCCTGGGTGCGTAGGAGACTTGTCAGTTACTGATCTGCTTGCTGTAGTCATACGCCTCTCCAGCCAGCATCTGTGCTTTTTAATTTAACCTCTGCCAAATGAATACCTTTGGATTAAAAAGGGAATATTTTGTCTCTGAGCTAACACATTCTAATGCTGCTTTAAAGCTGCCCTGGAGCTGCACTGACTTTCACTTGCTTTGTCAGACTATGTTGATTAATTTTTTTTTCTTTTCCGACTATGAATATGTATATTGTTTCCTATATGTAATGTAGCACAGTGTGGAACCTTAATTTCGTTCAGGTTTCAAGCACTACAGATGAATGCAATAGGTACGGTTTACCTGCTTTTTCTGAAGAAACTGTACCATTGGAAAGTCCTATTCCTTTGTATTATATTGTATAATAGGTGCTATAACAATAATTGCATGTCCTCATGGTAAATTATATAATATAAATATTTATATATATACATATATGTATATGCTTATATAAACTCATTCTTTTTCATTTTTTGTTTGTAATTTATGGACCACAAATAATACAGTTACCTTTTTGTTAGTTCCTGAATATTTTTGGCATTACTTCTATTCACGCCCCGCCCCCCCCAAATCTGGAATGCACAAATTCTAATAGCCTTTATACCTGGGTACAAGATTGAAGGACTGCTGATTTCTCAACCAGCCAATGTTTTGTCTTGCAGCTTGCTTTTTTCTTTGTAATTTTGTGTGTGCATTTGCATATGGAACAAGAACAGAGATTCAAAGGTATTTTTATTTTTGGTTACAAATAGGACTTGTGGTTACTCATTTTTATTTCGTAACATGAGTTCTTGTTATGAATACTCATCATATAGGAGCAGAGACAGTCAATGAATACCTTACAGACAAATGTGACAACAACAGATTCCATCTTTTCCTTCCTGTTTTCCTCATGTTTCCTTACAGTGTACCGTAAAGAGAATTTGGTCCCATTGTGATATTTTTGCCCAAGACACTGCTGAAATTATTTGTTAAGGTGGTGTGGCAGTCTGTGATTATTTTTCTTCCCCTCTCCCTTATTTCTGAAAAGCATTTATTACGGTCTTGTAAGCTTGTTCCTACATTAACATGGTCGGTTTTAATAGGTACCAACTTTGTGCATCCTTGCCCGAAATGCTGAAGTTGAGGTGTTTATATTTTCTTTCCAGTGTAGCAGAATCCAGAAAAAGGTAATTGCTTTAGAGGTGAGAAAGAATATAACACCTAAGGGTTTTTTCCACTGTCTTCAAAGTACAGTCTTGTCCATTGTTACACATTACTATGTAAAATAAATCAATGCTGTCGAAATTCACTTGTACTTGAACTACTTGCCAATGTAAAAATAGTAAACTATGCCAAAATGGAGGAAGAGATCTCAAACGTGACTTATGACCCAGGCTTCTTTCAGTGCAGAAAAAGGTAAAAGGACTGTATATCCCCAGTTGCTTTTTGCTGTGGATTCGACAGGATCTAGTGAGAAAATCATGAAGATATGCATGGAGGAGTGATTGTGAATAACTTACCTTGAACTGCCCGCTTTTCTGGGGGTTTTTATTGCTTGATACCCTCCCCCCAAAGTTTACAGAATTGCTTACTATAGTCTAATGTGGCAATCAGTTAGTGTAGTTAGGTAGTGGTCAGCTGATCAACTCATACATAAATATTAGCTTAATATTTCTAGAGGGCCTGTATAATCATCAAGAACTCTGTAAGCTTCAATATTTGAATATGCAACTGACTACATAAAAACACCAAGGTACATGTGTGTGGCCCTTGTGCAGAGTGTGAATGAATGGTTTACGGAGGGTTATCTGCAACAAGTTTTCAGGGACAAGGGAGATTTTCCTCCATTGTACAAACCAGCTAGTTATTCTGCATAGCACACAGCAGCTTACACGGGGATTTTAGCTAGGAAACGATCTAATTCAAGGAACTGTTGCTTTGTCCTCTTCAAGCCTCCCTTCCTTTGGAGGGCAGTGCACTGGAGCCATGACACGTAGCAGATGCAGATGCTGCACACACATTTCCTCTGTATGGTGTTTCCTGTGTTGTGGCCAGCACTTTGGAGCATTTTTTAAAGAAATTGAGGCACAAAGCCTTTAAACTAGTATAGAACTTGAAAAGACTGAACATTTCACGCAAACTTTTGTGCTGCAATATTGCATGATGTAATCAATCTAAGTTGCAGTGTCAAAAATCTATATTAATATTAATGAACCTCATTATTAATTGTGAATGCCAATTACTACTTAAGTAAAACCCTGTTGAAAGTAATGGAACGTGTGATACAGTAGAGCAACACTGGCAAGTTGTGTGATGCTAGGCACCTATCTACTACTTGAGCAGGATCGGTAAGCATAGAAAATTTCACTGCTCAAAGCCAGGAGCAATATGAGGTCCTAACTGCTATTATATATACAGTTATTCAGGAGGCAAACCCCCAGGGAGTGACACGGGGCATTCGTTACAGCCACCAGCCACATCCTGTCTTGGGAAGTCTGGACATATTCTTGCCTTGAAGTCTGCATGTGTGAGATCAAGCTTTCTCACATACCTCACTAAACAGTCTTGATGTAAAGGGGAGGATCTGGTCCTATGTATTTAAAAATAGCTTGAAATATTTTTCATCTGAAAAAGACTTGCAAGAGCTCTATCATTTACAGTTTGTAGTATTATGGTATTAACTATAGCTGGGAAAACACACAATTTTGATTTTATATATATAAATCGCATTTGTACATAAGTGTATCTATATAAATGCTTATATAGATACTGTATATTATATAGAGACATATATACATACAGACGTACATGTGTATATACATACAGATTGGAACAGTCTCATCCTGTTTACTGGAATTCATTTGCCAGAGAGCGCTAAGACCTGTTTTGCTTTGATTTGCTCTGTTCTCCTCTTCATCTACTGTAATTTTGCTATGCCCTAATTCTGATGCTGTGTCTTTTCCATATTACAGGGCCTGATCCTGTAGTCCTACTTGGGCAAAACTCCCCTAAGTCCTTCTTAACACAGTAACGTTTGTGCAATGGTTGACTGTAATGCTCCTAAAAAAAATACTTTCTTTTTCTCTTCAATGAGAATGTAGACAAAGCCAGACTTACAGTACAGACTCTCTCCTGTAAGCAGAATTTTTCCTTAATGAATTGGACATTTTTGTGGAACACTTAAGAGGCAGAAATTCTGGTAAGAAGAAAGTGATTATTCCAATTTCTTAAAAGTGTCTAATGGCAAGCTAGCAATATGTGCCTCAAATTTTTATGTGTATGTTAAATGAGAGAGGAATCTTCTGAAAAGGAGTAGGAGAATAAAAGAGAGCTCAATGTTAAGTTGGTTTGTCATTATAGGCCTATAATATATTGATCTTAATTTTTTGATGCAGGACTGATCATGTGAGGTGACGAGAGCCATGCCTCTCTTGTCAATTCCAGTGAGCAAGGGGCTGTTTG